GGGAGGGGCAGAGGCAATGAGCAGGGCAAGGCAGACAGGAGCAAGAACTGGGTCAAGAACAGGCAGACAGAGACAGAATCATAACACAATCTGCTACAACGTGACGTGTCTGATGCAGGATTTAGTCGACAAATTATTACCATTTTAATTCGATGTTGAAGGATCATATAGAAATTCAAGATAATCGTGCAATGAAAAATAATAAAATACTTTTTCTAGCCTTGACAAAAAAAAGTCATGCAGCTGCAGATACAGGTTGCTGATCTCTGTTCTTTGGAAAAACCTTTTGCAACGCTGAACCTTCTTGCGTCTGGTTTGCCTCCATCAGGGAGACACCCTAAATCCTCATTTCAAGACGGCGGTCCGCAGCACCTTTTCACCCGTTATTCACAAACAATTTTTAATTTGCCCAGATTTTTAGCACTGGTTACGTGGGATATTGATAAATCAGCCCCTATGTCTTCTAGACAGACAGAATCACAGTCAAAGTATTAGTACTGTGGTGGTTTTGTTCCATGAGAACATTTGTACCAACATCAGTGCTTGTGCCCTGCAGCTGTCCAGGAATCAACGCTTCTCTGCTCCTTTCCATCACACCGTGGAGACTCTGGTCAACATGATGATGCCACACATCACTCAGAAGTACAAGGATAACCTGGATGCTGCTCGAAACGCCAACCACAGCCTGGCAGTCTTCATAAAGGTCAGGATTCAGGTTTCCTCTGGTGGGGTTCTAAGCACAGTGTCTGTATGTGGAAATAAGCCCTCCTTCTTTCTGCAGCGCTGCTTTAACCTGATGGACCGAGGCTTTGTGTTCAAGCAGATCAACAACTATATCAACTGCTTTATGCCTGGAGACCCAAAGGTACAACACTTCCTTTACAGTAACACATTTTACCCAGTTTTTAATATAAAACTGCAATTTATAAAGTTTTTGTTTTGTTTTTCAGACACTGTTTGAGTTTAAGTTTGAGTTCCTGCGTGTTGTGTGCAACCACGAACACTTCGTGCCCCTAAACCTGCCCATGCCTTTTGGAAAGGGGAGGATATTGAGATTTCAAGGTGAGAAGAGAAATTCACACAACTTGCAGGCAGCTTTAAGTTTCTTTAAAAGGATTGAAGTGAAATGATTTTGCACTTTGCTTCAACAGTTTTGTATAGTTTTATAGTTTTCCCAATTTTTTGAAGTTTTCTGAAGGTTTTTCCCAATTTTTTTGTTGCTATTTTTCTTACATTTTCCATTTGTTCCTGGGACGGGGACAACACATTGTGCTTAAAAGATGAGGAAGCAAAAAAAGTGGAGGACAAAAGTAGAACATCATGCCTGAGAAGAAATATACGCAGCAGATGAGCAGTAGCTGTAATTAATGCTTTAAAGTAAAAAAAAATGATTGATGGAAAGCTGATAGAAAAACCTGTCTTGTGATTGACTGCACAAACAAATTAACCAGCTAGCAAATTAGCAAGCAAGCTTGTAGTTTAGCTAGTTATAAGCTAAAAATTCAAATAAAATTAGTTTGTTT